GGAAACAGCCCTAGGTTACACTTACTAAGTTGTTGAAACAGTCTCCGGACTAGCCAGAGGCTTTTGCTTCCAGTTGTTGGGTTTGTAATAAACAGGCTTAGTTGTTTTTAATTAACTGGCCTCCTTTTTTTGTTACTTTAAAAGTTTTCTTTGTAAGCCTGTCCGTAACACTGAGACAAGCTTTACAAACTCAAGATGAGACACTGAAGCAAACTTGCAGAAAGAACACAGGCACTGCAGCCCATCTATTGCAGAAGTTATCCAATTTCTGCATATCCACCTTGGAATCACATAGAATAACCTGGATTGGAAGGGACCTCTCAAGGTCATCTTTTCCAATGCCTCTGCCATGGGCAGGGTTATCTGTCACTAGACCAGGATGCTCAAAGCCCCACCCACATAACCCTGCCTTGAACACTGCCAGCAATGGGGCACTCACACCACCTCTGAGCAACCTGTTCCAGCGCCTCATCACCCTCAGAGTAAATTTTTTCCTAATATCTAATCTCAGTCTACCATTTTTTAGTTCAACAGTTACCCCATGTTTTCTCTTCTATTTCCCCCAAAGTCCTAGAAGTCCACCCAACTCCGGCCAAAAATAAATACACAGGACATATACAATACCTCCACCATATGGTCCCCCCATGTTCCTGCTGCCACCAAAATTTCCACTTTTCATAGGACCATAATTTGAAGGTTGTTGGTTGTAGTTGCCAAAATCATTATAGTTTCCACTTCCATAATTGCCTGTATTATCAACACAAAAGGGGAGCAATAACTACATGAGTTAAACTGGATGCAACACTCAAAGACACTCCATTCTAAAAATTGTAAATTAAGTACAAACTCACATGTATTCCAGCAGTGCATGCACCAATGTTTTCATTCTATTTCATACTACTTGAAAAACAACAGCTTCCTTACACAACACTTCTGAACTACCCTCCCCCCTACCCAAATGACTTGCAGTAAGTTTTAACTGAAATGCTTGAACATGAACACTAAGCCTACCTCCTCCATAGTTGTCATAACCACCTCCATAGCCCCCACCCTGGTTGCCATAACCAGGTCCTCCTCCACCATAGCCTCCTCTTCCTCCTCCATAACCAGGACTGCCACCAAAGTTGCCACCTGTGAGAACATAATCCTTTTAAATGAGCTTTTCAATATAAAATGCACCAAAATTATACATAAGGAATATTTTTCCGTTTAGAAGAACAAAGAGAAAGAAAAAGGTAGTTTTCTAAGGGAATTTCTATGGACAGTATTTTTTAAAGCACACACCAACTCCCTCCCTAACTGAACTATGACCAAACCCCAACAGTCAGACTGCCTAAAGACCTCAACTGAAAGATTTACGGAAAATCTTCATTTTCTAGGAAATTTAAGACCCACTCTTATCCTAAAGAAAAGAATATTGTCCAAGAAATAACCATACAATTTGCCATATGGGAATCTGACATAAGCCAACAACCATGTACATTTTTCAAGCCAACAAAATGTTGTAATTCAGATAAATTTTATACATATGTATATAAATATGCAAGTGTTTCTTAATGAGAGAAAAATAAATCACCACAACAGCAAACTAACCTCCAGGTCCTCCACCATACCCATTATATCCATCACCAAATCCACGGCCGCTTCCATATCCATCTATTAGGAGAAAAAAACCCAAAGGATTTCAATTTACCTGTAGCAAACGAGTCCAATTCTCAAACTCTTATGACCATAAGAGCTAAATGGCAGAAATTTTCAATTTCTGTACAATTAACTTCAGAAAAATAAAGTGAAACATCCAGTCATCACTCTACATTTTTCCTTTTCTTATGTTTGTATGGTACCCAGTTTTAAAATGTCAGGCAAGTGCTGCAGAGAACCAGAGAAATCTGACCTTCTTAGCAAATAATTTATATTACTTTTGGCTTTCAATAGAAGCTAAAAAAAATCCTCAAAAACAACTAAAAAACAACAAACAAAACAAAACAAAAAAACCAAAACACAACTTCACTTACAAATTACTTTCCCCAAAAATTCTCTCAACTGCTACAGGTGCATTTAAGTTAAACAGCACCACAGCAGACAAAGTTATCCAGAACCAGAAAGACACGTTAATAAGGTAAAAAATGTAAATGCTACAAACATGCCTGTCTTACCAGCTCCCCCTCTGAAATTGCTGCCGGGTCCTGGACCAAAGTTGCCACCACCTCCACGAGCATCACCAAAACCAAAGTTCCCTGTATCAGTTTAACATTTATAAGTAGTGAGATTGTGGAAAACGAACACAAAAATCAACCACAAACTGTTACTTATTACATATAACCATTATTATACATACCTCCTCTCCCACTCCTAGAATTTTGAACCTCCTGCATTTCCTGTCTAGAGAGGGCTTTCCTTACTTCTGCATTATGTCCATTGATGGTGTGGTACTTCTGCACTGTAACCGTATCAAGTAACAGGCTATCAGCATTTAACTGGCAAGAAGTCAGAATATCAGACTTCCAATCCAAACACATTCTGAATCATACGAAACAACACAAAATGCCATACAATTTTTTAACAAGGATGACAACACATTCAAAATACACATTCCCACACAATTTAGCAACCTGTGATGTAGCAAATACAGGCATGTAACTAATCCCATTGTCTCTAAGTTTAGCTTTACACCAAGGCTGTATATTTTTAAATTATTTTATTATTTTTATATTATTATTTTTATTATTTTATTATTATTAATAATACTATCCAAAGAAAGAGTGAAATTACTTACATACAATTTTATCCACAGGATCGTGGTCATCAAATGTAACAAATCCAAACCCTCTCTTTTTACCAGACTGTCTGTCTGTAATGATTTCAATAGTGTCGATTTTTCCATACTCCTCAAAGTAGTCACGAAGGTGGTGCTCTTCAGTGTCCTCTTTAATACCACCAACAAATAATTTTTTCACAGTAACATGAGCACCAGGTTTTCCAGACTCCTGTTAAAAGAAATTTCTAAATTAGCACAAAAAAACCCAATTTCATAAAGCACCATTTTACCTGGATTTCAGGAATAGAATTCAGATAAACTACAATTTTTTTCAAGCACTTTTATGCGGCATGACCTTGCAAGCTAAATTAGGGGCCCTTTTGAGAGGAAAGTAACACAGGGTTACTTTGAGGTCTCTACTCCTCTTTTTATATCAAAGCTTTAAAAGCACTGAAAAACTATACAGATCAACTGTTTGAAAGCACTACAAGTATTTAATAAGTTAGAGCATGACTTTTGTAATTATTTAGACAAAGATGCATCAGCTTCTTCTGCCCAATTCCACAACAGCAGTGAACTCACATTCCACTTGTATCAAGGTCCTTCAACCTCAGCAAATTCACAACTATGCATTTTAACACCATTAAACAGTATATACACATGCTGCTGTAATTACCTTTTTCCAAAGCTAACCAACCCTGCATTCTGCAGAGAATGGAAAGGATTACGATTTCCATTTCCCCATACCTTTGGACAGCTCATTCAAAACCAGCTCATCAGTCCAAACGTATTAAACACCTCAGTCCAACCTTAATCTGGTAAACCCTCCCAGAGCTTCTGTGTGGTGAACAGAACTTGCCTTATAACCCACTCTTGCTCCTCAAGTACCTCTGTGCCACAGTAACCTGGCTTACATGTTCACTTCATTCCTGTACACAAACCCCTAATTTGCATCCTGAATGGAAATCAAGTATGTCTGTGGCTAAAACCAGCACAAGTCCACACACGATTCTGTACATCAGCAGTGGAAAAGTTTCCCGACTACATTCTCTGGTTTTATCTACCTTTTCGAAATACCCTAGAAGGATCTTGGAATAGTCAGGAAGACTGACAGGAGTTTATTAATTTGAGGCTTGTAATAGGAACTATTCCAGGGAAGAGTTACTCTGGAATCTGCATAACTACGGATATTCAACATAACACATTTGCTAAAACACTTTTCACACCCCAGATGTGCTCCTTGCAGACATGATTCCACAACCAGAATAACATAATAATTCACTGTAATAATAGACATTTATATAAGAGACCAAAAGTGTGGGAAATAGTACCCCAACTATGGGCTTTGAACAGGTAATTTAAACCCAGCCAATTTCAAACAAGAACAAAGCCTAACAATCTGACCAAAAGAGGTATTTTTCAAAGCATGAGAAGCATCTGCTTTCAAAGCTATACTCACCTCTCTAGCCACAGCTCTCTTAGGCTCAACCACCCTTCCATCAATCGTGTGAGGTCTTGCAGCCATAGCTGCATCAACTTCAGCCATGGAAGAGAATGTTACAAAACCAAACCCCCTTGATCTTTTGCTTGCAGGATCCCTCATTACCTAAAATCAATAAAGACATTTAAACTATTTATACCTGTCTCATATTAAGCTTTTTGCTAACACGATTAAGAGTAAATGTGTAAGCTTAAAACACAATTATAGTAAAGTAGCAGACACTGTTCATTTAATATGAGTGACACTGCTTGGGATCAAAGCAATTCAAACCACTGTTGTCCTCCAATACTTAGTGAACTCAGAAATGCTGCTAGATCAGTGAGGTGCATTTATATTTATGTTCATTTTTGCAAAAAAATTACACAATTTCTTTTAAGCTTCATGAAGACCACAGACTTTAAAACCTGTGTTATTACTTACTGCTCCCAAGACAATTCAGCATAGAACTTCTACCAGAGCCACCATCCCTGTCGGTATTTAGAAGACACACAAACGCAGTGCTTATGGGTGTGGTTTAGTGATAAACTTGTCAGTGCTTGGTTCAACAGTCAACGACCTAAATGGTTTCTTTCAACCTTAATAACTCTATGAAAACATCAGAGAAAGACATCTTTTTCCAGCTTTACTGAAGCTGCTTACTACAATACCAGCTTTTTGCCAAATGTTACCAACCACACAGATGTAACAGTGCTCTCTGTAAGTACCTCCTAATGCACTTCAGACAACAATACTGAAGTTGAACTGTTGAAATCAGTGGTGAGATAATCTGGGAGAATTTGACAGAAAACAGATTGTGAATGTTCCCTAACTCGATTTTACAAGAGTAAAATTTATGCACTGCTACAATGAACTGAACAGTGTATAAACTGTGTACCATTAAAAGCTAATATTCCATCTTCTCTAAGCTACCCAGAAATTCAAACATTTAAAATTCCTACACATCCCATGCCATTGCTATGTACTGGTATGCTAAACTTACCACACAGTCTGTAAGCTTTCCCCATTGCTCATAGTAACTTCTCAAGCTTTCTTCTGTGGTTTCAAAGCTTAAGCCGCCAATGAACAGTTTGCGGAACTGCTCCTTTTCCCTCTGCCACAGGAAAAAAAAGATTACATGAATGTAATTTGAAACACCTCCTCTGCATTAGCAAACCAGACACTATCCAAGATTTTCTTAAGCATCAAAGACTTTCAGTAAGACTTATTTTCAAAATGTGACCTGCTTTTATAAAGGCTCTACCCCTAATAAAGAAATTAAGCAATTTATGCAATTCTATAGATCCACTTTTACAATACATATTTTTTTAGTCCTTTTTCCTGTGTCTCCCTCCAGATATCAAGAACAAGGGACCACACTTGAAGACTTTGAGAACATCCCTCTGTAAGACCCATATGAGATGCTTTTTAAAGAAAATGAAAATGAGAACTTTGAGATTTGTTTTTATTACAAAAAATACTGTCTGATTCTATCCCGGATAACATTCATTTATAAAAACCATCCTGGCTTAAATTGTTTTACATTAATACTACCTTACTATTCATCCAAGGCATTTTAAGTAAAAATCAACTAAAGGCAACTAAATATTTTCTACAACAGGTTAAAAATTCGTATTTTCCTCCATAATTACTAAAACAAGTGAAACTCAAGCATTTGTAAAATTAATCTGGGATCCCACACCTCTGGAATTATCAACAAACCTATACATTCTCACCAGGAGTACCATTAAAATAATTTTTCTCGAAGTAGAAATGTGAGTAATACATATTCATATCCACTAATATCATGCTTTCAATAACACTTTAATTTCTTGCAGGGAAATGATCACTGCACTTGTTAAGCCGAGAACTATTATGCAATGACAACAGCATCATAAAAAACCCACACAAACCCAACAAAAACACGACCAGTAATAAAGTACTGCATTTACTTTTTTGTATTTATTGGTAAACTAAAGCAGAAAGGAGAACCTTCTGACTTCTACCAGTTCAAAGCACTTTTACAGAAACTTTTTACACAAAGCAGGCCTTTTAATTGCCAGTTTCTACATACAAAAGTATCACTAGCTCATACATGTGAAAATTTCATGCCAAATACTTAAAAAATGCACTAACAAGTAGTCCCCTTCCACACATTTATTATTTTGGAATGTTGTTTTGAAGAGAACTCTTCTGGACAAGAGAACTCAAACCAAATCACTTCAGCTTTATACTGTTAACTAACTTTAATAATCAAGAAAATATGCTTGGGCCTTTGGCTGTGTTTTCATTAGTGTAGTGGTTGCTTTATATACAACTCAAACATTACAGCAGGAGGTGTAACTGACAAACACAACATGATTAATTGTGCAATGGGGATTAAGATAAATTTTAAAAAAAGAACTAGAAAAACACTGAGACTAAGAAAACAAGCAAAATATTTCTGTGTACATATGCTTTTGGAAGAATTAAGCCAATCTGCACACAGACCAATGTATTTTCTGAAGTTGTCCAAGGTAGGCCTGGATCAAGATGCATGTAACACAGTACAATTACCGTAGGCAGTGACAACCCAGGGTTTTTTTTTCAAAATACACCTCTGTATTACCAGCCTTTCATACTGCAGTCTGACAAGGAAGTCAACTTTCTCCCCTCCTTCTTCCAAATACATACTCTATTTAAGATTGATCAGTTCAAATTTCTCTTGAAAAATATTTGACTCTGCTGTTGGATCTAGTTATTTTTCTTCTAAGAACACAAAGAAAGCTAGTACTGTCTCCTCCTTAGACAAAAGGACAAGCAAAATAAGACACATGTTCACAAGCAGCAGACACATGTTTCAACTAATTCCTTTTCACCTCATCACATAAAAGGAACAAAGAACACTGCACACCAGACCAGTATAAAAAAAACATATTCACCATATGTCATAGTATTATTTATTAATTTTGAGTAAAAGAGCAAAGAAAAATTTTTAAGCAACAATACTGCAAAAATAAAAATCCTCCCTTCAGTTCTGCTGCTTGAGAATTAGGGACCACTTGCTTACAGTTGGATATAAAAATGTGGTTTTTTTTGTAGATCTATGAAATCTATTACCACCCATTTAATAAAGGACATTATTATAAAAATATGAGAATTAAGTAAGTTTAGTAGACAGGCAGGATTTTTTCCAGTGTTATTGTTACCCCCTGAAAACAGCTACAAACCTGCAAACAGAACTCAAGAAACAATTGTAAAATTATAAAATATACAATAACAATTATAAAAATATACTACATATAACTAACAGACATTAAACAGAATAGTAATGCATTTTACAGATGTATTTAGGGTCATGATCTACCCAGAACATCTAAGCACCACACGTCAGAAAACAGCAATAACGAAATTAATTACCAGTTCTTTAATGAAAACCACTGTGCGAAAACAGCACACACGCTGCTCCACTAACACGAAATCTCTAGATGCAGATAAACTATCTGTCTCAAATGAGCCAGTCTGAAGAAGCTCTGGTTGGCCTAACACTAACCTACCAAAGTCCAGAGAGTTCTGCACATCTAAAGTTTGTGCTGAAGGTATAAAATGTACAATAACTATCATCATGCCAGTGTCTCATAGAGTCCTAAGGAAAATACTCTTTTGCTACAGACAGACACCTCATACCTAGGAAAGGCCACAATATAAAAGCTGGAGGTTAACACCTCTTTCAAGATTTCCACAGTATGGCCCGTGGCAGGAACAAAGCACTAAGGGAAATTTCTACCTCTGTAGGATCTTCATGCGTGTGTATTTTAAGCTTTACTCCACAGTCTTAAAGCAACTTGAAAGCACTGAAAAACGCATAGCCTTTACTAAAAAATTAATCACCAGAGCAAGGAAAGGTGTTTCATATAGCTGTAACGTGCGCAGACACAATCCACGCTGACAGCGGAATTAAGAACTCGGGTAACAGCAATGTTTACCGGAGACGAGCGAGGGGGAATCCCTGAACTCCAGAGCTCCGCAACCCCTCAGCGGCAGCTCGCTCGCCGCCTGTGGCGGCCGGGACGCAGCGGCCGCGCCGGCTCCGCCATGTGGCGGCAGCGGGAACACCGCGGCCCCGAGCCGGGCGGGGAAAATGGCGCCCGGGAGCAGCCGCCGCCTCCAGGGACAGCGCTGCGAATTGCTGCCAGCGTACACCTACACACACGGTACTAAGGCCTCTCCAGCGCTCCTTCTCGCCCCCGTGCATACCAGACGACTACAGCTGACGCCCGCCTTGCCCACTCTGCCGGAGGGATCCCCAGTGCCTCTCGCAGACGCGAGTCCCAGCCAGGCCGCCATTTTACCCCTCCCCCTCGCCACCGCCATTACCCGCAGCGCCGCTCGGCCGCTCCGCGCCTCGGGGGGCCAAGACGGCCCCCCCAGCCCGCGGGGCTCAGACTCCCCCCGCTCCTCCGACACCTCAGCAGCAGCGCAGCTAATAGCCATGGCCACGGGCTCAAGAACGCGCTGTCCGCCATGCGCGGTTACCGCAGCTTCCGCCGCCTCGCCCGGCTGTGCGCCAGCCCCAGTCGCCGCTTCCAAAACCTTCCTCTGCGCAAAGACATCCAGCATCCGCCCCGCGCTGCGACCGGCGGCAGCGCCTGGACTTGTGCGGACGACTCAAGCTTGCTTGTAATTCTGAGTCCCGAAAAAATTCACTCTGTCTACACAAGCAAACGCGTCTCCCTCCTTAAAAGCAAGGTCTAAATCCACCCATTCCACGTACCATGTTCTTCATGGTTTATGTATTCCCGCTCGAGAGTACCGTACAACTGGTCGGTAATGGCTGCCTGAGCTGTTACGTAATTTGAAATTCAGCTCCGCGTAGTGTTAGCGCCCTCGTACTCCAGCTCGGGCTCGCTTCCGAGGTTTAATTAATTAAAAAAAAAAAAAAAAAAAAAAAAAAAAAATAAAAAAAAAAAAAAAAGAAAAAAAAAGAAAAAAAAAACTACAGGATCTGGAGCTTAAATATCTCCAAAGGGGCTGCAATTCTGAATAATGCCCCTACGTGTTTTTATCGTGTAATGAAAGTCATCGACTCCGTTAGTAATGGCCGTCTCCGAAATGAGCCGAAGGAGCTGTCGTCGTCGAGCTTATCCGCTTCGACAGCCGCCGGAAAAAGCCGAACCAGGAATGGAAGCCCATTCGACTCGCTTCGGTAATTTCCGGAATCTGCCGCAGCACGCGAAAATGGCGCTCGGGGCCAGCTCGGCAATTTCCGGACAGAAAGACGCAGCAAGTCACCGACTACTTCAGCCAACTCGGCAGTTTCTGACCATCGACAGGCTCGCGAGACGTGCCCGAGCGCAGCCGTAGCGGCCTCGAACGCTACTGGCACTCAATTTTGTTTGGTTTTTTTTATGGAAATTGACAAAAGGCCCCGAAGGCACAAACCTCGGCGTTATTATTAGTCGGGGGCGGCAGCGCATCGCTCCCCGAAACCTCGCCCTGGCCCCCTTCCTCCTCCGCCCAGGCAGGAGGAAGTGAAAGTTACACAGATTTTGGCACAAGTGCGATATATCGCGGGGCCCCGGCGGAGGGAGGCGGACTTCGCCGCAGCTCGCTCCGCTCTAGCCCGCACCATCGGCATCGGGCGTGCTGCCCGCTCCGCCGCGCTGTCCTCTTCTTCTCCTTCATCCCCTCCTTTTTTCCCTCTCCGGCGGCCCTACGCGCACCGCGACAAAGGGTGAGTGCTGCCGCCCCGCGCGCCAAAGAAATGGCGCTGGAGCAGCTCCTTTCTTCCCGCCCCCTCTGCTCCCCCTCCCTTTCAGCTTCACCGCGGATCCACCCGCAGTTCTCCTGGCTGCAGTGAAGGCTCCCCAGCCGACTCCCCCGACCCCTTTTCCCACTTATGAATGAGTTCTCGGGCCCCAGAGCCCCGCAGCTTCCCGAGCCCCCTTCCCTCCCCCCGCCCTTGCTCACACCCAGGCCTCCCCGCCGCAACGCGGGAAATGGCCGCCCTCCAAAGGGGGCCCCTCCAAACGAGCTTCAAACCTACGCCAGCGCTCCTCGCCTGCCCTCCCCACGCCCGGGGCCCGCCCGGCCGCCCCGATCGAGGGCCTCGCTCCGCGGCGGCGGGCAGCATCGGCCCGAAGCGCATTCGCTGCGGCCGCCATGATGGCGGCCGTGGCTCTCGGGGTCCGCCAACCCCGCCCGCTCCCCCAGGCTTACCCAGTCGCTTTCCCTGTCGCCGCGAGGCATCTTCCTTCTTTTGGACGCCTGGCGCGGTCCTGCGCTCGCCCCGCGTTGGAGAGACGTCTTGGCCCCCCTCCTGTGCCGGCGGCGACGACGGTCGGAGGTTGTAGCGGCTCGCGCGTAGGCGGCGGCGGCGTCGTGCGCTCTGCCCCGTCACAGCCGCCGGCGCGCAGAGCTCGCCCGGCCCAGCCCAGCCCAGCCCGCCACCGCCGCGCCGCTCTCCGCCCTCCGCTCCCGCCCTCCCTCTCTCGCTCCCTCCCTGCCCCCACCCCCCGCCTCAGCCCCCCGCGGATGTCGCTGTTGCTGCTGCCGCCGCCGCTCAGTGCGCGCAGGGCGGGAGCCAGGAGGAGACAGGAGACCTAAGCGGCTGGGCACCATTGAAGTCTGTATCCTTCTCTCTCTCTCTCTCTCCCTCTTTTCTTTCGCTGCAGCCGCTTCCTTTCACCCCATTCACCCTCGAGTCCCTTTCCCTGACTCCCCTTTCCTCTGCGGCTCGCTGCGGGCCGCCGCGGGGAGATGCGGAGCGCAACCCGCCCGCCTCCCCCCACCGCCGCTTCTTCCCCACCCCCGCTTCCTTGGCGGTGGGGGGTGGCGGGCGGAGCGGAGCTGTCGGGGAATCGGGGCTTCGGCACCCGCTCGGGGAGGGAGGGAGGGAGGGAGGCAGGCCGGCGCCCGGGCACGCGGGCGCTGTCGCCCCAGGGGAAGGAGAGCAGTGCCGGGGGCGGGGGCAGCGGCACCCGCGCGGCAGACAAAGCCGGCCCGCCGGCGGTCCCTACGTGTGCTCGGCCCGGGGAAGACGTGAAGGGGCGGGGGGAAGATGGCGTGGAGGGGCCCTGTCAGCGGCGGCGGAAGCGGCCCAGGCCTGCGTCCCCGTTACCTCGCCCGGGGCAGCCCCGCCGGCCTCATGTGCGCCCGCCGCAGGCCCGAGGCGCAGCAGGCCTCCGCAGGGCTGCCTCTGGTTTGTGGCGGGGGGGATTGTTGCTATTGGGTTTTGGGTTTTTTTTTTTTTACCCCTTTCTGCTGCCTCTCTGGGGGACGCAAGGCAAGACCTTCGGCACTGGCGCCCTGGCCCCGGCCCTTTTCCCACCTCGCCTAACCCACCGCCCATGCGGCTGCCAAAATCCGCCTCCCGTGTCAGGGGAGGATTGGGCGGGATTGCTGAGTCCGGGAGGCTTTCTGGCCTTAAAGGACTTTTCTGCTTTACCCAGGCATATGGGGAATTCTAGCATTTCTATAGCTCGCTGCGGGGCGGTGACAATACATGCCTATGGAGCTGGTCGGTATGAGAAATGACATGGAAAAGGGGATGGATTGTGTTCAACCTAATTTGCATAGGTTAAATATGTAGTATGTACATCTTAGCTGAGTTAATATTGTTTTAGGACCTTAACTCTTGCCAACTTGAGAATCAGAAGGCAACATTATAGTTGCATTAAGAGAAATATTTGCTGTTTATAAGAATTTGCTACCATGTAAGAATAATGGGTGATTCATTGCACCACAAATATATATATCTTCCCCATCAGATATTTACAGTTAATATACCTTAGGTATGTCTTCAATTGCTAGAATTTGAGCTCTGTTTCTATTTGGTTTAAGGAAATGAGCATCCCTGATGGTCCTCCCCCTTTTCCCTAGAAACATGTCTATGCTTTTGAAGGCCTTGGGAAAAATTTTTTTCAACCCTATATACCACCTTGTCAGTATCATTTATCCTGGCTAGCCTAATGGTGCATTACTGGGTTATGCCGGACAAAGTAGTAACCTACTTTTTGTTCTGGATTTAATCCGTGTAAGAAATGTTGTATGCAGTGAATACATGGGGGTTGGAACAAGGACCATGCTTGTCTTGGGATGCCTTTCTTTGAGTAATGCAAACTTCCTTTTAATTGTCATGCATTTTTCTAGTAAAAGCTCTGCAAGTCTGCAATAAAAATGGCCTCCAATAAAACTACATTGGTAAGTTCATGCACACCTAAAGTATATAAGGATTTAATCAACATATTTTTCTTCAAACTTATAACTTGGCATCTCCATTTAAAAGATACATCCACATCTCCCCTCCCCAGCATTATTCTGACCAAATTTCAGATCCAGAAAGTAAGGCTACTAGAAAGGACATTGTCTTTGGTTTTAATAAATCTGCCATTTCTAAAGAGAAACGTGTTGAGAAAAAAGTATGAAAGGACTCTGCACTATTTCATCTATTCTACAATAGAAAATACTGAGGATTTTTTTTAGCCTCCTTTCAGCATACCATGTAATTCATCATACATGTAAAAAATAAAGTCTAAATCATGTATTCACTTAATTTCTCCCAGTGTATTTGGAGAAAAATATTTGCCTGACAAAAGGCAATCTTTACAGATGGAAAGTAACATTATTGAGAAATGATGTGGCATAATTAAGATGCCTTTTGAAATGCTTTTTAACAAATAACAGTTTCTTTGAATTTCATAGGAGCAGAGATTATCAGATGTCAACCCTTCCTGGACCATTTTAATGATGCATTCATGGATCTCAAGTCCTCTAAAGCTTTGCTTGACATTAAAATATGGACTTCCAATGGCAGTTGGTTGCTGGTTGCAGTTCAACTAATACTGATACATAGTTTCATGAAAGACAGACCTGTAGAAGTATATTGTGAGATGTATCTGAGATTGAGATGGGGAAGCAAGCCAAAATATATGTGCACAATTCAAAACTCCAGCAGCAGAACAGCTGGTTTATAATAGTCTCGAAAGGCCTGTTCTTAAATTTACAGAAATGTTTACTCAGTTCAAAATATATTCAAAACTTTTATTAACTCCTGGCTTAGAAGTGCAACGGAGTGCTTCCTCTGTGTTGTACTGGTTTAAAATATTTCACCGAGATGAATGTCTAAACTTTCTGTTAGTAATTGATTGTCCACTTATCCCTAATTTGAAGAAGAGAAGAAGTTAGCCAGCCTGGGAAAGGGTGCTTTGGAGAGAGGAAAAAAATCTTTTGAATGTGGTATTTTTAATCTTTTGATGTTATTGAGAATTTTGCTGTACAGGTCAGGAAAATCAGTTATGGTTCCCATGGGAACCATAACTAATTCTGCTTAGTTATATATTTGCATGCAAAACCTAAATATGTTAAGGGGTAGGGTAGCTCTAGAGCTGTAATTCCAATTTTCTTACATCTTGTATGTTAAAATTTTACACCACAGTGTCACATCAGTGTTTTAACCTTGCCCCTCAACGAAAGAGTGTTTATCCATAGATCTACATCTGTCATATGTGGTGTCATATGACTCCTGAATGCAGAAAGAGAAGCAAGCTATACATGAGCCTTCAATGGTCAAATGTCCAATTTACAGTTTACAATGTGCAGCCCTAGAGAGGAGAGCTTCAGGGGTCAAGTGGACATTTAGTATGCTTTAAGTTCAGTCAGGTGTCACAATTCACTTGTGGGCTGAGATTTGCATGGGCTTGTATAATCCCAGAATGTACAGGTTTTTAACATGTTCAGTATTTCTGCAGGCTCTGCAATCAAGTGTTATCCTAATAGGCTCAAGAGTTTGAAGAGCAGTGCTGATGCACAAGACCTAATAAATCTCTAACATTTAAAACAGAAGCAGCATACTTTTTATTTTGCTATTTCTTACTGCACTTCAAGAAAAAAATACAGACCCCCCCCCCCCATGATACTCATTTTCCTCTGTGGAAGATACTTAAGATACTTAAGTTTTAGAAAGTAAAAAAAAAATTGTTGCTTTGATACAGAAATCCAAAACATTGATCTTTAAGTGACAAGAATTAGTGAAGCCGAAAAGAGTACCAGAAAACAGTCTTCCATTGAATCAAAGAATTTTAGTCCAACGGAGAATACAGATGGAGATGTTCCCCACATGTAGCCTGCTTGCCTCATCACCAGTAATTATAATGTTATTACTATGGTATAGTGAGTCTGTCTTTTTCTGTGTTGTCGTTTTTCCCTCTGCTACTTTTATTGTTTGTTTATTTTCCTCATATCTACCCCTTTCTATTTCACACTTCCATTTTTTGAAAGAAGCTGCCCTCATAGAAGCCTTGGACATCTTCATGTTGTATTTCCCTTCAATATCAGTCTTGTATTCTTTTTCCTGTAGAGGCAAAAAAAGCCAATATGCTTAAGTTAACACTTTTCAGACATGAATGCTGTGGTCAAAATACACCTGGGATATGCAGGCACTTAAAATCTAATTGGAAATACATGCTCTGTTCTCTCTTCTATGCTGTCAAATCAAAAACATGATGGCCATGTGAGATATATACAGAAACTTGCTATTTAAATGAGAAACTAAAAACTTTTTCTCATATGTGTTGTTTGAACCTTCAATTTATGGGTTGCTAACCATAAAGAGTAAAGTATTTTGGGGAGGGAGGGAATAATTAATTATGAAAAATAAGGGGTACAGAGACAGGGCTTTGGCAAGAGAATCATCTTCCAGTCTTCACTAAAAGAAGACAGTTTTTGTTCTAACATACATTTTTTTTTACCTTTCACCACATCAAGACAAAATTCCACTAAGTCTGAAAGTTTGAAAATTTCAGAATTGCAGTGTTGTCAAACTAACCCACATTAGAGAGGACTAGAGAATGGCTAACCAGCAAATAGAGGTGCTTTGTGGTATATGCTTGTCTGTGTTCTGTTGTAGAAGAAGTGCTTTAGTGAGGAATTAGTTCTGTCCGCTTTGATTTAGGGTGCTGTATAACTATATTTTAGGAGCTTAATAATTAGTTTATGGTGCCACTTGACAATTTCTATATAAGATGCAGTCCAAAATGGCAAGCAAACTGCTTTTGGTCTGCTAGTCCTCCAGAACTATGATACAGCATAATAGGCTAAGATTACAAACAAGGAAATTCTGAAATGTGTCCTTCTACTGCTATTTAATTATGCCTTATAAAACTGGGAATGCCTTGAGGATGATGTGGATGTAATATTTGTTTTAAAAACTTAAGAATATTACCTGAACTATCACATGTAAACTTTAAAACACTTGAAAAGTTTTGTAAGTTAGCAAAATTCCATTTATGTGCTAAGTGCTGTACAAAAGTGTAGCAGTCTTAAATTTATGCACCTTTGTGACATCTCTTTGTAAGTTACATGGGTGCATGGCTAAGAATGGGAAGGGACTGCAGTAATGGAATGCTTCTAGCATGTGTCCTGTTCAGTAGTTGCGGGTTTATTGAGTATTTTGCTTGTTGTAGCAATACATCATAAACTTTGCTGCCATCAGTTTCTCCTTGGTTTTTTTTTTTGGTTTTTTTTTTGGGAAAGGTAGAAACCACCTTTTTTCAGTACCATCCCTTTTCTATTTTATGCATTTTCACAGTTTCCTTATTAGTTCTCTTTACTTCTGCCTTGCCCTCTGCCTTTTCACAGGCATAGAGTTAACTTTTAGAAGCTTCCTGATGTTTTGAGCATGTAGCACTGATAATTAAATTTTTAAGGAGACTATAGTCACTGAGTATGTAGACAAAAAAATTTTCTCCTTTTTAAAAGCTGGTGTTGGGTATCTTATTAAGCAACTGAAAAAACCCAAAAGATTAACATGTCTTGCTCAGGTTACCTGACCACATGCACTAACATGAAAGGAGTCTGAGCTTCTGGTTTTAGTGTTAATAAGCCAGTGAAGTAACTGTGTAAAGCAAAGGAAAAAAAGAAAAATGTCGTTCTGAATTTCTTTTGTAGCACAAAATGGGAAAGAAACAGAATGGCAAAGGTAAAAAAGTTGAAGAGGCAGAGCCTGAAGAATTTGTTGTGGAGAAAGTCCTGGACAGACGTGTTGTAAATGGAAAGGTGGAATACTACTTGAAGTGGAAAGGATTTACAGAGTAAGGCATTATTTTTTTTTCCTTTTTCTGATAAAATGATAAACACCATTGATTTGAAACTGTCCAAAGAGCTTGGATGATGGGCATCCACTTTAAAGAACCTTGAGGGAAGGACATCCCTAAATGCATAGTCAAGTGAGACGGTCAAGTATGAAAATAAAATAGAAGATAATGTAGTTCATTGTTCACGCTATATAAAATATTTGAGGACTTTTACCAAGTTCTTACTGATTGTTCTTTTACCACTCTGATAGAGTCACTCTGATAGAGTTTGTGTCCATAGCTATCAAGGTCAGATAGACTGACAGTTATCATATGCGAAGCAGAATGAATGGTACTTCTGAGTAACAAATCATGCAGGATTAAAAACTTCAGGCAGATCTGAAGCAGATAGTTTGCTGATTAATAATTTTAATGAACTGTTCTCAAATGAACTGAATTTGCCTCTGGAGTGGTTGCCTTCATTAGGCATACTTGAAAGGCATTTTTGAGTGTCTTTCCCAGGACTTATATATGTATGTGAAAACTTTGCAGTAGACTTAAGAAGCTGATTGTTTAAGAAGGAATGCAATTGTGCCTCCTTCCAGTGATGCTCTGTGACAGCTTGCTTTACCAGCTGAAAGAAGAATTTGTGCATAAATGGTTATGTATGCTGTGATATTATTGTTGCATACCTCCCGAAGTGAGTGCATTGCAACATTGTGCACTCTGGCATCATGAAATATGTGTAGTGATGTGTGCATAAATGCAAAGCACAATGTGTTTAGTATTTTGAATTTGGAATAATATGTTATTGTAATGGAAAATAATTTGTAGGTATCCTGCTGGTGCAGTAGTGCTGTGCCAGTATTTGCATGTGGGATGCATAATGGTTGTAGGGAGCTTTCTTAAAATTTTAGTTAGAAAATGCATACTCACTGAAACATGTGCAGTGCCCAGCTCTGCCCCCCTTTGTTCCCTCCTGCAGTCACTCAGCTGAAGGAAGCAGATAGTTCTAGGTATAGTTGTGTTCAGTGCTCAGAGACAACTTTAGAGTGTTCCTCATGTCTGAAAGCTTTTATATAGATATATATGTATGTATGTATTTATACTTAGGCTATTTGTAATGACTGCTGTGTACACTCTGTTTTCTGTTAGTCTTTAGTATTCATATCATATTGTTTATTTTCATGGACAGTCTTTAGAGGAACCGGGGAAGTGAGTCAGTTTAAATGGACAGTTAATTTTGGTAGGGTGCAGATTGCTTGTTTCAACTCTCATACCTCGCTGAGAACACAGGTGTTAATACAGCTGCTTTTTGTGTTACCTTCAGGTTAAGAACATTGTTTTTCAATACTACTGGAGCATTCTTTCAGTCATCAAATGCAGTACATGAAAGCTACTAAAGGTGGCAATATAAATGTCCTTAGGGTTTAACAGACCTACCTTATATTGTGAGAAAAAAAATTAAGTTGCTTATTTTAAGGGGAGCCGTGGGGCTAGTTTTGTATTTTTCTTTACCTAGTTTTACATAAATGTGTGTATGTTTCAGTGCTGACAACACTTGGGAACCTGAAGAGAACTTAGATTGTCCAGAGCTAATTGAAGCTTTTCTGAACTCTCAGAAAGCTGGTAAAGAAAAAACAGATGGTGCCAAAAGAAAATCTTTGTCAGATAGCGAATCTGATGATAGTAAATCAAAGAAAAAGCGTGATTCTGTAAGTATGTATTCACATGTTAAGCTTCTGTTTCCTCCATCTCTCCCCTACCTCTCCATCCCCCAAAAATCATGTTGTGGCTTTGAGAATGAGACTGAACACTCATTTAAAACTGTAAAAATTTCATAGCATCTGGGTCTGTGGTTTGAAAAGGGTGTATGTTCATTATGGTTAATGAGACTGTCCAAATGGTTAGTAAAGGATGATTGACTGACATGATGATTAAAAGTTCTTACATTGTCCCATAACATTTAGTGAATAATTGAAAGTAAGACTGGTTAAGAGTTATTAATTAATGGTATTAAGTGATAGGTTTATATTAGAGCAAAAGTTCCATGAATGGAACAAAGATGAAGTTCTGGTTTGCTGCTATATTTAATAGATGATTTTGAATGGGTGTGTGGCAAGATGGCCAAACGTGAAAACCAGTCATTTACTTAGACTAGGAGCAGCCGTAATGGTGGAGAAGGAGTAGAAGGGGTGAGTGAAAAAAACTTACCTTTCCTGAGAAGTCTGGATTTCTCCTTCAGTTTAAATGCGTAGGCAACTTGACACATTCAGTGCTGATAAGTACAGAATAATGCACACATAGTAATGTGTTCAACAGTTCACATTTTCTTCCATAAACTTTTGGACTAGTGGTTTGAAACCTGACACTGCCAATCATTTTCATGTACTGCAGACAGCAGACAGTTGGACACGTGGTTACTGTCAAAAAGGTTGGAAGGCATCAGAAAGAATAGTTCATTAATAATACAAAGAATATTTTGCTTTCTGTGTAGAGGCAGTTGTTTGACTTCATCTGGTACAATAGTGGCCACTGTCTCTAAAAGAATATTGTGAATCTATAAAGGAGCTAATACAGGAAATAGCTGTGATATTTTTTGTCACCGGTGTGATGTCAGTGAGCCAAAGAGAGTTGAGGTGTTCCCCAAGGGTGCAGTTTCATTGTTGGTTTAGCCAACCCAAGCCTGTTTTACTGAAAAGGATGTGCTTTTTCTACTTCCAGGCATGCATTTTTGCTGTTCTGTTTTTATTTTTATTGACCATGCTTGTTCGTTTATCTACTGAAATTATTTTAGACCATTTGTTTCATCTACTGTATTTTCAGAAATAAATGCTGGAAACATGGATATAAAATCCTTTATTATTAACCTACCTCTCAGTTACTTGGTTTGAAGATTGGTCATGAAAAAATAATTATAGATGTGTAATTATAGATTTGATGGGTTTTTAAGGCTGCATTTTTTCATTCTGATACACAAACATACACATGAATGTATGTACAAAAATTTGTGTATCTAGTACCAAAATAGAATTTTGTCTTAAACTAGATAACCATCTTCTAATTTACTAGGTTGATAAACCAAGAGGGTTTGCAAGGGGTCTTGATCCTGAGCGGATAATTGGGGCTACGGATAGCAGTGGAGAGCTTATGTTCCTCATGAAATGGTAAGTCTTATATCCACAGTTCTTGTCCGTAAAGGGAGGGCAGGCAGCTGCACTTAGCCTAAAGAGACAACTTCATCTTAGGAATAAGACACAGAAGCTGGTGGTCTCCTTATTAACCTTGTATTCTTAGAAGAACAAGCTCTCTATATTCAGTTAGGACTTAATCCCTCTTCCTTCAAAACCCAAAATATCTTTCATTTTTGTTCATTCAGTTTTACTTTGAAAAGTAATTTCTGATAAAATAGGGAGAAATTGGCATTTGTGTGGAAGAAACTGGATCTTGGTAATGCTCTTGCAGAGGGAATGGCAGGCAGAAATCCAGCTTTGCATATTTCAATAGGCAGAATGCAGCTGCTGGATAGCCAGCTGTTTAACCAAGCATAGTGCCAGCTGTTCTGCATACATCAAAGTGGAATTGGAAGCAGCTAGGGGAGAAAGCAGAGGTGGAGATGAAGAATAAACAATATGGAGAGGCTTGACATTATGGGCTGGTAAGAGGTGAGAGTCATGTGGGGAATTGGTGTTGCTGGGAGGGTAGGTGGGAACCAGCTTCATTAGCTAGAGTGTTGGGAAAATGATTTCTTGTTATGTGAACAAAAATTGACATTTGCTGAGAGTCATATTTCTTAAGGTGATAAGAAGGATGGCTTTCCACAGCCTTTGAGAAGGGCAGATTTTCAGAATGGAGTCAAACTGAATGATCTGAGACATGATTTGTCTTGGGATTTACCTGGACTGCTGAAGACTAGTGCTGTGGGAAATTGTCTCCCTTCTTGCATTCTCAAATGCTTTATAAATTTTATGTGAAACTTAGAAAAGTTCCAAAACAAAGACCATGAGTGTTTGAATTTCTGTAGTGATAATTGGCAATATCAAACACAGAGGACTTTTTATTTGTTTAGTTTAGTTTAGTTGCCGTTGATTCGTTTTTCATAATTGGTCTTAGGTAACAAACATGGATATGAGTTTGTATGCACAAGGTTGACTTTTAAAAGCAGCATACACTTCAAAATGGAATCTGAAGCATGTCAAACCTAGCAAGCTTGGTTTGTTTACCCCAAGACAGCATCAAGAATAATAGTATGAAATACAGGAATTTACTTGCATAAACAGTAAATGTAATTTGCATGTAAGTACCACCTCTTAAGATTGGTTGGTCCTATTGATTTTTAAGTCTTACTTTGAAGCTTTGATTAGTCTTTAAAAGACAAAATTAACTGAGTTTTGTTTCTTTTGTTACATACTCCAGTACGTAACCAGTGTAACTGATTCCCTTTGAATAGCATTTTCCTTTCAAAGAGAAGAAAACATAGGAAGGGAAGAACAATGGAGCTATAAAGCATCGTCATTATCATTAGCATGGCAAGTCTTGGTAGCGTTAGTGAAAGGTATACTGGAAACTGATTTCTAGCTGACATTCTTTTCAGAACTTAGGACTTAAGAAGAGCTGCTTAATGGTTTGAAGTATTGATTATTAATTTTCTTAAATTTGCTCTCTTCTACATCAGGAAAGACTCTGATGAGGCAGATCTGGTGCTGGCCAAAGAAGCTAATGTGAAGTGTCCTCAGATCGTAATCGCTTTTTATGAAGAGCGGCTAACTTGGCATTCATGCCCAGAAGATGAAGCACAATAATTGTTTGCATTGCTTTTTTTATATATAAAAATATTAAAGCCCAAAATTTGATTTATTAGCAATGTGAGAAGCATACATTCTAACAAGTTTCAAATTTGATATTTTTTTGAAGTAGTATGTTTTGCATCAACATCAATATATAAAAATATTAAAACCCAAAATTTGATTTATTAGCAATGTGAGAAACATACATTCTAACAAGTTTCAAATTTGGTATTTTTTTGAAGTAGTATGTTTTGCATCAACATCAAGTAAATAAAAGCTTTCTGCAACTTGTTTCATTTACCACAAGAGAGCATTTGATACTACTACTTCCTCCATATTAGGTAAAAGCTTTTATAAAACATTGATGAGCTTCCTTAGTTATTACAGATTCATGAGTGTCTAAACAAACTCACAGATGTTTTGTAGTCTTCTATACTATTGATGTGCATGTATCTTCTTTACCCAAACCTAGCCCTTTAAACCTGTAAGGTCATTCTTTTTAGTATTCGGGATCACTTGGTCTTAAGAAGACCAGGTGAAAACTAACTTTGTAGTAATTTGAATGTTATCAGACTGTATATTGTTTACTTTATTGTAAATACTGGTGAGCAGTGGTCAATAAAATAGTTTTATATTCTTCCTTTATACTGATAGGCTGTGACTCTTTTGAAGAGGAGTATTTCTCAACTTTTGATATGTTAAACTCCATTTGTAATATATTTAACTGTAAGTTGTTCTCTTGGGGGGTAGGTTGATAATTAATATTACCCCACTGCTACTCTTATCACAATACCAGACAAGTACCAGGCTTTGATTATCTGCTGGGGGGGGTTTGTGAATACTGCCTGAGACACGGGGTTTTTTTAGTCAGGAAGGGCCTGTAACGTTAATATGCTTTGGGTACTCCTGTAAGTCACAGATTGCAACCACACAACTTAGGTAAAGCAGTTGGTCACAAGGCCAAGTAGCCTGTGCAAGCATACTAGGAAATATTTGACATGTATTGACAGTATTAGTCCTTGCTTTATCTTCAGTTCTTAATAAGAGGCTATAGTGTACTCTAGGGCTGGTTCAGATGGAATTATTCTTCAGGCCATCACCTCAGGAATACTTGCATAGCTCAGCTTTTAAAGTGGAACATTTAAATGAACATACTTAAGTCATATACCTGGAGCAAAAGACTTTCTTTCTATTTCAGATTGAATTTTGAAATCAGTCCTGTAATCAGCTGCTTGGATAATACCTTCAGAAGGGCAGAAATAAAGGGTGGGAAGCCCTGGAAGAGTAGAGTTGCCATTCATCTTTTCACTTCCCTTTATTTAAACACCATCTTTGTGTTTTGACTACCATAGTATAGTTTGCCTTAAGATGTGTTCATATGTCAGTTGGCCATGATTATTTCAGAATTATCCTTAATTTAAGGTTTTGACTAAAAAAAATATAATCCTGTAGTACACTGTCGGTGAACTCCTAGAATGTATTTGGGTTGAAAGGCACCATGAAGATCATCTAGTTCCACCCTGCCTACCATAGGGAGGAACACCTTTCACTAGACCAGGTTACTCAGAGTCCCATCAACCTGGCCTTGAACACTTCCAGGGATGGGTTGTCAACAACTTCTCTGGCCAACCTGTTCCAGTGGCTCACCACCCTCAGAGTAAAACATTTCTTCCCATAATATGTAACCTAACACTACTCGTGGTTTGAAGCCTTTTCCCCTTGTCCTGTCAATACATGCCTTTGTAATTCCTCTCCAGCCTTGTTGTAAATCTCCTTTAGGTCCTGGAAAGTTCTTTTAAGTCTCATTGGAGCCTTCTCTTCTCCAGGCTTAACAATCCCAACTTTCTCAGCCTTTCTTCACAGGAGAGGTGCTTACAACCCTCTGATATCTTTGTGGCCCTTCTCGAAGGTGAGACAGTTGGGATTGCCTGGGTATGTTTTTTCAGAAAATAAAAAAGAGATATTCCTGGAAATCCTCATATAGTGTGCATAGCCTGAAGAGTGAAGGAAGGAATCCAGTCTGTGCTTAATGTACTGTTTCACAAATCATTACTATAATTTGTCCTTTCAACAGTTTCAAAAGCCAGTTATATTGTGATACAAAGCCTGCCACCATAGTACACCTACTTATAGTTAAACAGCAGTGGCTAAATTTGCTATGTGAACTTTTTCCTAAAGATCTTTTATTACAGGCTTTGGGCAGAATTCAGTCTCTTATTTGTGGCTCTAGGAAAAATCTGATATCCCTGTTAACATGGGGCTCCCTTGCACCAGGTAATGATAATTTCAGCACTTAACTAACCTCACTTGCCTATTCCTTAGACAAATCACCCTGACTTCATCACATTTAAGACTTCTACAGAGTTCATGGCTTAGTTTTTGGGAAGCCTGTAATAGGAATATTTATACACCTAGTATATAGGATTCTGAAATCCTTGCTTTTTTATCCAGTAGCTTGATACATACATGGGCTAAAGAGGAATTTCAAAGCAGCTTGTATTCTCCTGTCAGTTTCTTCAGTATGGAGTACTTTGTAAAGAGTCTTAAAACTTCCTGTACTAGTTGCATTTTACTGCCTGAAATTTTGCAGTTTCTGTAACACATTTCAAGTGTGGATATCAAGTCTGTGTGAAGTTGCTGATTTGATGCAATACAGGTTAAACAGTTGTTTTTAATTATTGGTTATTGTTAGTGGTAGACAAAGATTTTTGTTGAGAGGTTGGTTCTCAATTTGTAACCCTTAAAATACAGATTTGTAACTATATACAGCTTTTTACATTATATTTGGTTCTCCTGACAATAAAAATACACTGAATTCACTTTTAAACAACTTTGCAGCTTGTTAGACAGTTCTTTAGATTGCTGATTTTTTTATGTTATGATGGTAAATATGCTGATTGATATTTGTTTCCTTTTTTTTCCTCCTCACTTTGTGTCAAAATCGGTTTTGCTAGTAATGAAATGCAACACTTTAAAGTTACAAGTTATGTAAAGTTATGCTGAATGTGCTGCATACATAGGCAAAAAGTTAACAAATGTTATTAATTCAAAATTAACTGATTCAATAAATGAGATATCTTCTGTAGTTAGTTGAGTTTTGTGGAGGTTTCTCGTCATTGTCTCCTTTCTTATACCAAACCAAATGGGCTTCAGGCTGTCATTTTGTGATTGCTCCGTGTTAATGGTGCTGTCTTGAAAAAAAAAACCACACAAATCACAAAAATCCCAGTTGTTCTTGCTCCAATGCCTTCACTCTGGCTAAAGAAAATATGCAGGTTAAACATAACTGGGTAGTGCTAGATTGTTATGATATCATCCTCTTATAGCCTGGTTCCTACTTCTTTGCTAGGAAAGAATAAAATTCATACTTTGTTAATTAGTATTGTATTACTTGCAAATTAATTAGAGTAATTGCTGTTAAATTGAATAAAACAAGTATGTTACCTGCAAAAAAAATTATTAACATTGCAAGTGATTTTTATCAGTTCAGCACAAATGGATTCTGCATGCTTTGTGGTAATTCTTATAGATTTATGGTGCAGTTCTCCTTAAAACTCTGTGACAGTTTCTTAGCAATAGATTATAATTCATTCAGGGCTTAACATATGTTATCATAACTTGAAATGTAGCTAGAACTACATTTTTCCTTTAATTGCAAATTATCTAACTTGCTTACCTGAATTGGGCTCTTGCAACATAAAAGATTGTACTCCTTTCCTATTCAAAGACCTTTCTCCAATATTCTCAGCGTTGTCCTTGCCATTGGTGTCCCTCTCTTTCTGTTTAATATGTCTTCTCAAAATGTCACCTTTTACCCAACTCCTGAATTTAGCTGCTTATGTTAAGATATGTCTACTCTCATGACACAGGCCTTTAAACTTTAGCTAGTAGCCAAGCCAGATGTCCCCAGATTTGTTTCTTAGGTCCCACTCCTGAAGTGAAAAGTTGCTGCACAGACCTACTTCACCTCAGAAGCTGAAGTGGAATACCATGGAAGTAGGGCTGTGTGGCTTTTGGAACAAAATGTTACAGGATCAAACAACCATGTTTTTCTGTCTAGTTTTATAAAGCTATAACTACCAGCTCAAGGAGTTAGGCTTTGTTTTGCAGAGTGAATATCCAGACTAGCTCTTTTATAGGTTTACCTGACTGATGTATAATTTCACAAGCAGTTTCCACCTGACAGTGTTTTCCTATTCTCCTAACCTTTTCTTGTGACAACACTTGAGGCCATGCAGTATTGGAGCCAAAGGTGTTTGGTAGTACCTTCATGTCAGCAGGACCAGGAAAAAGTTGCAGAGGCTTTGTGCTTCATTCCTGCTGCCTCTTGTTGGCGCAATCCCAGCCATCAATTTGAGTATTACCACATCCTTTTGAAGTTTAAATGGAAAACTTCCACGTTCCCCAATGCCTGTCAGGAACTCATATGAAAGCATTCTGGGCTCTGATTTCAAATAAATGATAGATGGTTTAGAAAAAGTAATAAGTTATGCCAAGCAAAATTGAAACACTTGTCCCCCAAAAAAGCCTGCAATTGTTCCAGTCTGATGCAAGTAGAAATGGTGCTTTTCTTCCTTGTACAGTGCTGTAGCATTTCTTAACTTGGTGAGAGAATTGGATATGATTCCCAGGGCTCCAGATGGCCCCTGCCAGATGGAAGCTTATATTGTCTTAAGATGCTGGCGTTGATAGTTTGGGAATGCAATAACATTTTGTGATGAATTTTCTTACTAGATAAAGTAAGCGGTCAAGTACTTGCATGCATTGCAGTGTCTGCCAAAATATTTTGATCTGGTGAAGAGGTCACCCTTATGAGGATGGGATGGCAGAGTTTGGTTTCTTTTTTTTTTTTTTTTTACCTTGACTGAATTTGTAAATCCCTGATTTACTTAGACCAGAGGAGGCATCATTGGCTTCTATACATAATTTCTCCTTCCCAGAAATGTTATCCAGGTGCATTGCTCTGCACAGTTACAATTTCAAATGTGTATGTAGTTTTGGTCCAGAATCTTTGTTGAAAAGCACTTGTTGCCTGAGTTTCTATAAGCAGGATCAACAATCAGGAAGTTCTGTCTTTATAAAGAAAATGGATATTAAAGAAATTTAGAATCGAAGAATTATTTAGGTTGGAAAAGACCTTTAAGGTCATTGAGTCCAAACATTAACCCAGCGCTGCCAAGTCCGTTGCTAAACCGTGTCCCTAAGTGTCACATATACACATCTTTTAAATACCTCTAGGGATGGTGAATCTACTACTTCTCATGGGCAGCCTGTTCCAATGACCGACAAGCCTTTCAGCAAAAAAAAACTTCCCTACTATTCAATCTAAACCTCCTCTGGTGCAACTTGAGGCTCTTTCCTCTCATCATGTAGCTTGTTTGGGAAAAGAGCCTGACCTCAGCCTAGCTACACACTCTTTTCAGGCAGCTGTAGAGAGTGACAAGAGCCCTCTGAACCGCCTGTTCTCCAGGCTAAGCAGCCCGAGCTACCTCAGACATCCCACACAGCACTCACTCTCCAGACCCCTCCCCAGCTCCGTTGCCCTTCTCTGGACTCGCTTCAGGCCCTCAATGTCTTTCTTGTCATGAGGGGCCCAAAACTGGACACAAGATTTGAGGTGTGGCCTCGGCAGTGCCGCGTACAGAGTGACAATCACTGCCCTGGTCCTGCTGGACACTATCCTTGATTCAAGCCAGGCTGCCATTGGCCTTCTTGACCACCTGGGCACATGCTGGGCCCACGTTCACCTGCTGTCCCCAGGTCCTTTTCTGGTGGGCCACTTTTCAGCCACTCTGCCCTAGCCTGTAGTGCTGCATGGGATTGTTGTGACTCAAATAAATGTAGGACCCAACAATTTGCCTTGTTGAACCTCACACCATGGGCCTTGGCCTATCAATCCAGCCTGTCCAGATCCCTCTGCAGAGCCTTCCTACCCTCCTGCAGTTCAACACTCCTGCTCACCTTAGTGTTGTCCATGAACTGACTGAGGATGCACTCGATCCCCTCATCTGCATCATCAATAAAGATACAGAACAAGACAATTCCAGTGCTGAGCCCTTTGGAACCTCTTGTGACTTACCAACAACTGGATGTAGCACTATTCATCATCATTCTCTGGGATTTGCCATCCAACCAGATTTTTACCCAGTGAACAGTGCACCTGTCCAAGCCAAGAGCAACTGTTTTCTCTGGGAGAATGCTGTGAGAAGCATGTCAAAGACTTTGCTGAAGTGCAGATGACAAAATCCACAGCCTTTCCTTCTTCACTAAGTGGATCACAAGATCACAGGTGATCAGGGTGGTCAGCCCATGCTGGCTGGGCATGCATAATCCCCTGGTTATTCTGTGCTTGCTGGCACTCAAGGTGAGCTGCTCACTAACCTTCCCCAGCACCAAGGTTAGACTGACAATCCTGTAGTTTCCCAAATCCTTCCAGCCCCTCATACAGGTGGGTGTCACATTTGCTGACTTCCAGTCAACTCAAATCTCCCTGGTTATCAGGGGCTGCTGGCTGCTGCTAAATGATGGATAGTGGCTTGCTGAGCATTTTCATCAGCTTCCTCTGTACCTTTAGATTAATCTCATCTGGCCCCACAGACTTGTGTTTGTCTAAGTGGTGTAGCAGGTTGATGGCCATTTCCCCTTGGATTATGGGAGCTTCATTCTGCTACCTGTCCCTGTCTTCCAGCTCAAGAGGCCATATACTCCAAGAACAACTGGACTTACCATTAAATACTGCAGCAAAGAAGGCATTAATATCACAGACTGAGCTTTAGCCAAAGCTATCTGATTTTCCCCACTGGTTCATCTTTTGCATATGGCTTTAACATTTCTCTGTTGAAGAATGACCAGCCTTCCTGGACCCGTTTGCCCCTCCGGACTTCTAAGGGGCAATGTTAGTCAGGGCCATCCAGAAGTCCAAGGTGCAGCTCTGCTGACCCTCTTTCTTGCTTGTCTGGGAATTAAAAACTCTATCAGTGATTGCTGTATCACAAGATAGGATGTGGAGACTGAATGCAATGTAGTATCACACAACTGTAAGTGGAGCACCATCACCCATCCAGAGCAAAGATGAATTGTGTCTCTTTGGATGGAAAATAAGCAAATTACCATACTCTCAGCTTGAAGGTATTTTAAATTCTAGAACTGAGAATAATTTTTCACACATTTAAAGGCATATGTCTGCTCTGGGAAATCATAATGAAAAGATGTTGGGAATTTTCTTCTCAATAATTTCTAGATTAAATTATTTCAATCAGAAGTAGCCTCTTTCTTTTTTCAAAAAAGTCACTATTTCTTATTATATTCTTCTAGAGCCCACCTTTCCCCTTCTGTGTCCACCCGTGCCCCCTGTGTCCTGGATGGGCCTGGGATGTGCAAAGCAGAGAGATGATGTCCTGGATGGACCCCTCACTTCTACATCAGAGTTTGTCATGCATAATGCTGGGCCTAAAATGCATAACTATTCTATTTTATTCATAGAATCATAGAATGGGTGGGTTGGAAACCTTAAACATGACCTAGTTTCAATTCCCCCACTGTAGGCAGGGGAATTTGTCCTGCTTTCTCTAGACCAAGTTTCTCAGAGCTCCATCCAACCTGGCCTTAAATGCTTCCAGGGATGGAGCATCCACAACTTCTTGGAGCATTCTATTCCAGGGCCTCATCACCCTCACAGTAAAGATTTTCTTCTGTTATCTTCCCTGAACTCACAATTAGTTGAATAAAAATTACACCATTATTTGCATGAAATGCCAGGGTTTTTCAGCTACAAAAACCACTTTCAAGAAGACAAATCAAGGTGGTTACAAGTGGAAACAGGATTTTATTTTTCTGAAACTGTTTCAGAGTTGATGCTCACAATCATTAAAACAATGTGCATGTGTGGTCAGGCAGGCTTGTAGCATTTCAGAAATCTATTTCATTTGTTGCAGGGAGTGTTTATATTGCTGGTGTTAATTACATTGATGTGTCTAGTCTGAGGATTTATTTGTTGCATTACAGCTTGAATGCAACACTTCACTGATTGCTGCTTAATTCCATATTGTTGATAGATCAATAAAGCATTTTATCCCAATTTGGTTT